TATTGCTTAATTTGTTCAGAATCATGCCTCACGTACATCCTCTGGGGCAAGAGCGTTATAGTTCATATATTCATTTGATTTGATGTTTATACTGTATTATGACAATACGATGGACTAGAATATTTCAATCATTTTTGTTAAACGCAGTTGGACAATATGCGTCTTATATTCGCATGAAAAATTATAAATTTTTTCTCATTTTCAACTTCGTAAAAGCTTTGGATGAAAATCCAGCTGTGAAGTGTCTCGCTGCTTTTTTTTTGTGATTCACACTTGTGGATTTTTAAATAAAATTCTCAAACCAATTTTTTTTTTCAAGTTTCAGACCAATTTTTGACGGAAGTGCGTCAGTTGACGAATTTCGCGAACCAAGATGGTGAGTATGGCGAACTTTTTTGCATTGCGTTCATTTAATATCCATTTCTTGCTTCCTAGGTGAACGTGCCAAAGGCGAGGAAAACTTTTTGCAAAAAATGCGGAGTGCACAAGCCGCATAAGGTTTCGCAATACAAGAAAAGCAAAGAGAGGAAAACCGCTCAGGGTCGACGACGTTACGACCGGAAGCAGCAAGGTTACGGTGGTCAAACGAAGCCAATTTTCCGCAAAAAGGTAAATAAACTGTTGATTTAAATTGGACACGTTTGTGATTGTTTATTAAGAATGAGGGTTCCAAGATGAAGATGGAAGTATTCCTGAATATTACGAAGTTCTGAAATGGAGAGTGGTGGCCGATTGACGAACTGCAGTAACTCCTAAATGTTGTAGGAATTCATTTAAAAATAAAAAAAAGAGGAATTGAAAGCTCACTCACTTCAGTCGAATTATTTCCAATTTCATTTTTTGAATAAAATGACATTTCTGCACAATGCGCATTTGAATAAAACATTTTACTGTAAATCCGAAGAAAAAGATTTTTAATGCTCTTTTCAGAGGAGATTGGAAACTTGAGGGGTTTGTTCACTTTAAAGGCTGTCCCAGTTGCGCGTGTCGTTGAATTACTTGCGAACAGCAACTAACTTTTTTCTACATTGTTCCGACAATTTTTGACGGGATGGAGAGCGGAAAAACCAAGACTCCGATGAAGGAAGAAACTGATTTTATTTACTTGAGCTATATTTTGACATTTTCAAGTTCACTTTCTTTGAAACGCATGAGTCATCCCAGAAGTTTTGAAAAGCGTTCTTTACTCCTTCCGTTAGGCCAAAACAACCAAGAAAATCGTGCTGCGTCTTGAATGCACCGAATGCAAGTACAGACATCACATCCCCCTCAAGCGCTGCAAACATTTTGAATTGGGAGGTGACAAGAAGAGGAAGGTGAGCTGAATCGATGTCTAAAAAATTCTTTAGATCACTAATATTGATGCCGATTTTATTTTTTTTCCAGGGTCAAATGATCCAATATTAGGATCGCCTCATCACGAGTCGACGCGGTTTTTTGCGGGATAGAGGAAAATACATTTCTATGTCCCTGAATTTTGTCGTCGCTTTTTCTCACTTTATTGCGAAGGAATGCTTGAAAAAGTTGTGGAAAGGAATGTTATGTATTTATCCAGATATCGACGCGGCAAAAAGTGATTGCCTTGTGCTTCAGGGTTGCAGCCCGGCGCGCGTTGGGCGCCTGTGAGCGCAGTATGTGCTTACTTTTTTATGACACGCGAACCGAGTCGGACCTGAAAGATTTCCCCTTCAAGTTGATTCTAGCCAACACCAGGGATGAGTTTTATGACAGAGCGACTGATGCAGCGTTGCTGTGGGAACCCAATGCGGAGCGAAGTTACCCCGTCATTGGAGGTTCGTTCATTTTTAAAAATCAGGTTTACTCAAGTGCCACGCCACGCACCTCAAGCAAGACTTGGGAAATGCTCCTAGATTTTTCAGCGAAAAATTTGGTTATAAGTAATTTTCAAGGAAGACCTGCGCCCTTTTTTTAGTGACCGAAAAATTTCAATATTTTGAAAATGAATCCATTAGGATTTCAACTTGAATTGAACCTGAATTCAATTTCTGCCATTTTTAAAAATTGCTTCTTGAAATGAGTCTAAATTATTCCTAGAATCAAGTTTGACGCACACCTCAAGTTCTAACATTTGTAACACTTGGTACCTGCTCATGATGCACACTCATTTTTCCCCTTCAAATTCTAAAAAAATGTGCGCTTGGTACCTGAGGAAGTACAGTATAGTATTTTGTTTTCATTGATACCTTAATCAACGGAATAGCAAAACTTACTCAATAATAAAATATCGCGTCGAAGTTCGCAAAAGATCGCAGACCTTTCTTTGGATAATAATCTTTGTTTAAACTTCAAATTATCATTCTGAAGATGATTTAAAATGCTGTACATTTGTTCATGTGCCATCATATTTTCGTTTGGAAATTCGTTTTAATTTTGTTGAGAATTGTTTTTGTATGTTATTCCATTGATATGGAGAA